ATAAGTTACACTGATAGTTGATTGTACAGCTGTTTTTTCAGGGTATGTTGTGAAAACAATTTCCTCATCGCTCGCACGTGGATAAAATGTCGAGTCCACCACAAGTGAACAGGTCGACTCGAGATTTTATCAACGTGCTAGCGATGAGAAAATTGTTTTCACGACAAACCCTGTAAATATTGTGTGATAAACTGTTTATCTCTCCGTTCATAAAATGACAACTAAACACCATATCTTCAAAAGGATTTCTAGGCTCAATGATCATCGATCTGTGTCTATGACAAACGTAATCAAATAGAAGATTTGAACCTAATACTATGAACCTTAAAACTATGTCGAAAATAATTTTAAAACAATCTTATCGTCATTGTCATATGCACATTTACTCTTGAAATGGTGTTGTTATCCTCACAATATTTTTTCGTAACTTTATATTGATTTTTTAATGACGTACTTGGTGGGTTTTTTTACATGGATCAACTTTTGTTTGTGTGCATACTTTTTCCAGTTTGTGACGTCATCTGACGCTAGCAGACGTTTTTTTTGTTTTTTTGAGAAAATACATTCCCAAATGGGAAAATCCATTCTCAAGTTCTTCTCAAGTCGTTTTCAGCTTCATTTTGGGTGACAACCCATGTTAATGAATTTATCATGCTACCTGTAGGTGGTATACAGTAGTATATATAGGTGATAATAATAGTAATCTGTCGTTAAATATTCCAGACACGACTATACAATCACTGGTGTCCGCTGCGGTCAAAGCCAAGGACAAAGCATACTGTCCCTACAGCAACTTCCGGGTCGGTGCCTCTGTCCTCTGTGCTGATGGGTCTATCGTTACTGGTAGGTCAATCGTCAAAATCCATTACGTCCAATGATTCCTTAATGTTGTGTATTTAAATTGTGAAAAGATTCATGTAGCACAACCAAAACGTGTTTATGCATGCATGTGACGTTTCGATGAATAGTACGGTATGTATACCCCGTCACCCTCATGTACACAAAGGTGTAAAATATGTAGGAGTTGTCCACAAATTGAGGTCGATTCGGCTACGCTGTAAGTGTATGTACAATTAGTTGTTATCTATGTATCGAAATGACTCGATTCAGCTTTGTTTGATACTTGTTTATAGATGTGCGAGAGTCTGTGTATTTAAAGTATCACAAAGCACATGTCCGGTTTAGTTCCCTGAGTCACTCACGTGACCTATTATAATCGCCTTTCGTCAGTCGTCGTGTGTAAACCAACACATTGTCGATTTATTTTAAAAAAACGTCTGTAATAATTTGATGAAATTTTGTGGTCATAATCAGTCTAAGGTAGGGATTATAATCTTACTCAAGATGGGGCCTGTTATAACAACTGGAAATCTTAATTAAAATTAATTTAATTAAAAAACTTAATTTTTACATTAAACGAAATACTGTTAACTTTTACATCCACTATCTAAGTGTTGTAACATTTAATACCAACTTCTGACCGCTTCTGCTGCTGTCAGGTGACTGTTATGGCCCTTTGGGATTCTATTTTCGGCAGCTGATTAACCCTTTCTGGCCCAACAATCAGGGCTGTATCCCTGGACCCTAATTTCAATTTACGATTCCTCCTCCCCAAATCAGTTGGTCCAAGATGCTGTCATTAGACAAACAAACAAAAACCAAATTTGGTGCCATTTAATGACATGTTTTGTGGTGTATAAGTTCAAAGTGAAACTCATAATGTTTAAGTTCAGTTCAAGATTATATACCAGGTACAGTTCTTTGAATGAGTGATTGTTTTATCGAGGCCATTGTATATGAGTATTCGGTATTATGTTGTAACAGGGGTGAACGTAGAGAATGCCTCATACGGCATGAGTGTCTGCGCGGAGAGGGTGGCTATTTGGAACGCCGTGGCCCAGGGACATACAGACTTCAAGGGAGCCGCCATATCCTGGTATATTACAATTTACAACTGCATTAATCTAACTTGTACTATTTTAAAATAGTTGTTTGTTTTTTCATATGTATAAAGGTGACTTTGACACAACGAATACTGAAGAAATGGTAGTCGTAATTAAGCAAAATGTGCATGAACTCCTCTTGCGCGTAGCTTGACTGTAAACGTTATGTTTGCAAGTCCGCCCCACCCCTCTTTCCGGAAAAAAAATATATCTAGAAACGAGATCGCTGTCCGTCACAATTTATGCAACAATATTCAGATTTTCTTTGCTCTGGTACTATATAAAGCTACCATATTTATTTATGGTTAATGAGACCATAAAATTGATCATAAGTGATCATTATGACGTTATTACAATTATGACGTCATAATCGTAACGTTAGCTGGCCAATACCGGTTGTTGACTGTTCCATTTAGTGGAAATCATCCCTAATTTTGAGATGAATTTGAGCTTAAAAAACGTTATTGTCAAAAAAAAAAGTATCAATATGAATTGCATACTGTTCCGAGTTGTATTCCTATAATCCTAACACGCGTTAATTTCGGGACTGTAACTCTCTTCAGCATGCAGTTTATTTAAGCATTGACCTGCTTTCAGTTGGCATTATATAGGCAATGTGAATACCAAATGGAAAAAGGGAAATTAAATGAAGCACGCTTGCGCTTCATTTTTGATTTGCCTTTCTCCAGTTGGAATTTATATTGCCTATGAATATTAACTAAAATCAGCTCAATACTTATATTTACCATATTTGGAATCAGTTTTAAAAAATTCAATTACAAATATTATTCAGCATTTAGTTCAAATAACGGATGTATAGCGTATGCTTGTTCAATGAATAGAACAG